TCTTGTTTAATAAAGAAGTATTTTTCAGGTTAAAGTTTGAGTTTTGCTTTTCTAATATATTCAAATACAAGACAAAGATGTTGGATATGTTCATCAAAAGGTTTAAAAAAAATATTAATATTATCTAGATATACTACAACAAATTTCTAAAGATATTTTTGTAGTATATTGTTCATTAAGCATTAAAATATGGCTGGAATATTAGTTAATCCTAAAAGTATTATTTTGAATTCATATAGTTCATGTCAAGTAGTAAATGCAGTTTTGGATATATTTTGAGAAGTTATAGCTACTTGCCAGTAATTATTTGCTAAATCTAGAGAAGTGAACTATTTAGATCTTTGTAATATATCTAGAAGTTTATCAATTATTGGTAGAAGGTAGCTATCTTTTTTAGTTACTGTGTTTAATTTTCTATAATCTATACAAAAATATAGTTTTCTATTTTTTTTTTAACGATAATAACTGGGGAGGCCCAAGAACTTTTAGAAAGCTGGATAAGATCTAGTTAATATTCTTTGAATTTCTTCCTTAATAAAATCTGATTCTTTAGAAGAGGTTTGATAAAATTGTTGTTTTATGGATTTATCATTTTCGACTTTGATTTCATATTAGATTTTATTAGTTCTTCCTAAATCAGAATCATTTTAAGTAAAAATATCAATATATTTATTAACAAAATTATAAAATTTTTTTTGTTGTTTTGTATCTAATTCTCCAACATTAAGTTTAAAGGGAGGATCAAAAGAATCTTCTATTTTATCTTCATGAAAGATTAGTAAAATTTTTTGAATTTTATTCTATTCTTCATTTGTTTTTATATAACAATGTAGACACATTTGCTTTAAATTTTCTTTTTTAATTTCTTGCCAAAGGTTAAGCGTATAGATTCTTTCTTCAAGTTATTCATTTTCATATTCAATAGATTCATCAGATTCACTTGAGGATTTATCTTCACTTTTACTTTCATCAGAGCTTTCTTCTTTTGTTTTTCCTTTGAATATAGCTTCAACTCTTGAAATTCTAGTAATATGCCTAAATTCAATAGGAACTTGAATTTTTACATCTTTATTTTTAATTTTCATTACTGATTTTTTCCAGTTTATTTTTGCTTTGGCTTTGAATAACTAGTTATTATCAACAATTACAGAGTATATATCTGTATTTGCAACTACTATATCAATTGGTAAAGAGTATTCACCAATTTTAATAGATAAGTTTTTTTTTTTTTTTTTTTTGGTGTTAAGGTGGCCTCTTGGCTGGCTCCTTTTATTCGGTTATAGTTAACTTTTA